TATATATGTGTGTGTGTGTGTGTGTGTGTGTGTGTGTGTGTGTGTGTGTGTGTGTGTGTGTGTGTGTGTGTGTGTGTGTGTGTGTGTGTGTGTGTGTGTGTGTGTGTGTGTGTGTGTGTGTGTGTGTGTGTGTGTGTGTGTGTGTGTGTGTGTGTGTGTGTGTGTGTGTGTGTGTGTGTGTGTGTGTGTGTGTGTGTGTGAGAGAGAGAGAGATAAAGTTAATAAGAACTTTGCTTCTTTATGGCGTAGAGTTATCATCGTGAACTTTAAGCACACCTCCAAGATGGCAGTAACAGAACATCCTATTTCGATAGCTATTCTCCTCAACAAAACTCCTAGAAGCCAAGAAAAAACATACAATATTGTCTTTCATTAGTGTAATATTTAGTATTTTCATTAGCAAAAGATTTTGAAACCTTAAAAATACAAAAAAAAAAAAAAATAGAAGGGACACCCCAAAAAGTTAAAAGGGATATTCATACTAGAGGAATGATTTTATTTTTATGCTCACAAGACTGAAATGCTAAACTTTATGGAATGATATATCAAGAGTCTTGGAAGAACCTTATTATTATTATTATTATTATTATTATTGACTTTATTGGAAAAATCCATTTGTGTGATTAAGCTTTCTACTAACAAAAATAATGGATCTACCAAGAGTATCTCCTACAAAGAATCCATCGAGTGCTGTGTTGAAGTCCGAAAGTAATTATTTGAAGAAGAAATACTCTCCTGGAGGCAGCGGCTAATGCAAAATGGCTTGGAAGCAGCCTTTCAAGTGATGGTCAATGGTAATAGAGAATTGATGTGTTTGAAATTGAATGTCAAAAGAATCCAAACGAAGTTATCATTCAAGTGACTGAAATCCCTAAAGAATCAAAATGCCCAACTTCTCCTAACTTGATATCAATCTTCTTTATCCAACCTCTACGGTTAGACATTTCCATGCGAGCCAAATGCTGCAGAGCAGTGGCCCAACGGTCATAAAGCTTCAAAGGATGTTACGAAGAGGCTGAAGAGTGGCTTCCATTTGTACAAATTCATAATACGACTCCAGTACACAGTACAATATAAGCTTCATTTGAAGGTCAGTATGATTTTGTATATCCAGAGTTGGCTTGAGGTTTGAGTTTATCCTTTTTCATATAGAATATAGGGAGTCGACGTTTGAGGTAGAACAACTATACGAGGATTGGTAGAACGTGGTTGGGTAGAATATCTCTATCTTCTTTGTAGTGGATTTAATAGTAGATTCTGTCTGAGATTTGAAATGAAAATGAAAATCATGTTAGTTAATATTTCTACATGTAACATTGATTATTCATGTAAAATATATTTATTATAAATAAAGATTTTCTTTATTTTTAATATTCAATTATATTTAATTGGGCATATGAGTAGAAGTACAATTCCGCTTATGTGGTCTATATTAGGGTTTTTGTACTAAATTACAAATTTACTCCTATATATGTAAGATGTTGATTTTATATTAAGATTAAGATTAAAATTATAAATTAATTAATTATAGAATTAATTTTCTTTATAAGATTAGGATTGAGTTAAAATATTTAATTTGTAATATTACATGATGAGATATTGTTCAGGTGAATTTTATTAAAGGATATTAATTCTGCTCAAGTTATAAGAGTAGTTACAAGGTCATAAATTCTTCATGAAGTCCTTTGAACGGATAAAGATAAAGATTGAAATCCAAAAGGGTAAAGGTTTTACCAACCACTATGAGTTCATCACTATAAGCTTTTCCACTTTGTAAGTTACAACGTTGTCATCATGTTTTGTACACACTTCAATTAGGGTTGGGTGCATATATACAATGCATGTTGCACAGATAAATGCATGCATTGACACTAGAGCAGTTCAAATGACATGAGATATAGTACAATTAATAACCAAAGATGATACCTATATGGAGAAAGCGGCTATCAAAGTGCTCATTAGTAGATTGGTATAAGATTAGCTATATTGTTCAGGTGAATATGAAAGTGCTCATTAGTAGATTGGTATAAGATGGATTGAATTCTATATTATTATTAGTAATTATAGTTTTAGTACAGTATGGATGACCACCATTCATGAATTTAAACAAACCTTCACCTATCAGAAAGGGCTAAGCTTATATAATGAATCCTATTATAATAATACAATAATTAACCATAATGCTTCAATAGCCCTAACAATAGTGCTGCCCCTGTTGCCATGTACTTGCACCGAGATCCTACAGAGAACCAGTTTAACCAAAATTCTTTAAGAGGCAGGTCCGCTATTTCGATGCTTCTTAACATAAAAGCTTTTTGAGAATATTGTTAGATGTTAAGTTCAATCATACACAAAGTTCAAAACAAATATAATCCTAATAATCTTGTTTCGTAAAATTGCAGTTCATACAATCATCATCAATATGGCCATTTTTTTCTACCAAAGAAATGTTACAGCGTCATCCAAGCCTAGCTCTCTGCATGTAAGAACACCTCCTCTACACGCACAACAATAAAAACGGGAGATAGAGAGATAACTGTGCTAATTAACCTTTTCCCTTTTGAGGTCACAAAATATTACCTTAATAATATGAAAACGTTCACACATGATTCCTACCAAAATTTCCGAAGCAACATACCAGGCTCTCCATCTGAAGCAGTAACATTTCATCAATGCTGACGCGGTATGAAGCATTCAATTCTACCATTTTTTGCAGGGATCCTCCACATAATGTCTGCACAAATTCAAAGCTTCCCTGTCTTTTCACATGGACAAGAAACAGGACTGATCCTCTTTTAACTGTCTACAATCATCAATCAGATTTATGCATGAACAGCATGTGGACCCAACATCTTCAATGGATGTCAATCAACATTGACAGTCCTCTTTTCCAACAAAGACTCCAAAAATACTGAACATAATTTAGTTAGGGGTGGAAGATTATGTGATGATCCACTAAATACGGTCTCCCAAGGCCTCTCCAATGGTGCAGATGGGACCCATGAAGCCTGTTTCCTCTTTGGGTCAAACTGTGGCAGCTCCCCATAGATAGACGCATACCCAAATTTCCCTGCATAAAAAAAGATGGAAGCAGTTTAATTTGTATTGCTCTGTAAAATTTAGCGGGAGCAAAACACACAAGAATGTTAAGATAAATAGATCAAAAAGATTGACAACTGTTAAGAAGGGTTAAATAATAATGAGAAGAACAGGAGCTATAGATTAAAAAGGTTGGCTGTTGTAACAAAGAAAGGGCAAAATAATAATGAGAAGAAGAAATGCCATAGTTTCCTTATAAATTATAACCAGAAACTAAATGAATATAGACAAACACATGCCTTGACAATAAGCAAAGGCATGAATTTTTTGAACTTTTGATTCCCCTAAGTACCTTTTAGTTTTCCTAATATGTTTGAACTTTTCAATATTGTTAGCAACTCTACAACAACCAAGCCTCAATCCCAAACAAATAAAGTTGGGTTGGTTATGGGATATAAAAATTATCACTCAAAAATAATTGAAATAACCAAAAAGAAAATTAAATGTAAAGTTCTATAGCAAAGTGATTTAACTTTATTTTTTTAAAATGAGATTTTTTTTTGTGATAAAAGAAAAATAATGAATGATCATATTAAGGGAACCCACCGGATTCTTCAAGGTCACCGAGACCCTCTTGCCGAATTGTGCTATGTTCCTTTGCTTCTTTACCTTGCGGATCAAATAGTAAATACTCATGATCACCATTTATATATGCAAGCAATGACTTATGTGGTTTCCCATCTAGTTCATTTTCATCTATAGCAAACTGATTTGCTTGAATAAAGGCAAGAGCCCCTCCCTTGGCCTGTACCAAAAAGAAGAATCAGAATACCAAACCATTCTGGTCAAGTGCACCCAGAAGATACAAAAACTTCAGGTATTATTTCATTTTATTGAGTCCAAAAAATAAATAGCAACTTCTTTCTTTTCTTTGTTCTTTATTTACTAATCCAAAGTACTTCAAACTTCAATGGCACGACATGGGAAGAACTGCTGTTGCAACTTCAACCACACTGCATTTTCTGCTAGATTCATAAGGGAATCGCTACAATATTTATTTCTCTAGATGAGCTTCAGTTAAATAACAGGACCCTAGATATGTGGTGAGCAAAAGCTACATTACCTGGTTCCATACATGGCTTTTCCATTTAAATTTTATGATCATCCCACAAGCATTTGAGGATAATTACAGCACCAATATCATTTTCCATCAGAAGAACTGTTTTAATACTCTTGAAAAGTCCATAACATCACATTTTTCAGGAACACCACAATACACGTAACTAGATTTTACTATATAACTAATAAAAAACACAAGATATCAAAAGTCCTAACTTCATTGCCATAAGAATATCTTGTAACAATTTTTTAGCCAGAAATTGTGGCCATACAAATGATTTTGTGAAAGACTTGATAAGAAAACCTCACATTTTGAAACAGATTAAGCAAATTTACTGAAAGGGTTTAATAAAACAAGTCGACAGATTATGCTACCAAGAAATTTTTTTCACAACAAACATTAATAATAAACACAAGTCTAATCAGGTCATGAGTATTTGTTTCAAACATACTGCCTTAATGTAGAGGTACTATGAAGGCACTAGTTAGTTGGAGTCAGCCACACATATGATAGGGACAGAGACTGATACCCTGCTGAGATGATAGGTCAATTATATTGAGCCACACACATGGCTAGGACTGGGACAGATCTTATCTTTACCTTTTTCACTGACCAGGTAAAAATAGGAACAGGATCAGATGCATTGAATAATAAGATCACACCATCTCTTCCTTTTAATGATGTTTCATTGCATTTAGAAGATTCAGGAAGAAGTGCAAGAGCAGCAAAGAATGACATGTCTGCTGCACTAGCAATAGCTGCACAAGACATACAACATGTTAACAAACACATGATTATGACAAAATGTTTCATCACTTTATTAATAGTTGCAAACAAGAAAAAAAATTCAATTGAATTACTCAAGAAAGCAATAACAAACACTACAAGAAATAATAATTATAATGACAATAACTGATAGCACAGGCAAAAATCAAATTTGGCAGGCTGGGGCATTGCAATTTTAAAGATTTATGCAATAAAAAGCACAGAAGAAAGAGTTCCAGGAAGCAGGCATTGCTTTTTAGCATTGCAGCAACATTGAAAACAACACTTGTGGGCTTGTTTGTAGCTGTGGTAACTGTATATCCTAGCACTAGCCAAAGCGAGAAACACAGCAAGAATCAATTATTGTAGCCTTTAGTTTTCACATCATGGTTCCTCAAAAAGAAATGGTTTTGAAATACTTGTTCGCAACAATTTAGCAGTTTGAAGCATGAATGTTAAGAAGAAGCAGGCATCATATTTTAGCAATTCAAGCTTCATTTAAAGAAAAACAATTATGGCCTGTTTGAAGCTGTGAAGACTGTATCGTAACCAAAAACCAAAGCATGAAATGCCGCTAGATCAGTTATTTTAGCCTTGAATTTTCATATCATGGTTCTTCAAATAAAATAAAAAAGTTTGAATATACTTATTCGGACATAAAAACCAAGCAACAAATCAGTATGCAACAAATTTTGTGGACCTCCAACAAGGGAGAAACAAATGCATAAAACATTTCCTCATCAGGATGCGCTACCTGCATGATTTTTACAATATATTTTTAAGAAATGAACCATGCTACACATCAGAATATTCCATGTTCTGAAATGAAAGGGTAGCTTTTAAGGTAAAATCTTAAATTTCATTTTACATTATTGATGGTGCAGCTGAGGATCATAATTATTGAGCTAAGTTCAATCATATAGAACTTCCCTCTTAAAATAGACAGGTCAGCCTATTTATGTTTTATTTAAAGTCAAGCAAGGTTAACAATACCCCTGACTAAAATACAAAAGATGGATTATGATACTTTTCATCCAGTACTCAGATCAGATAGGCGTACTCGTATCCAGTTGATTATGTTAATTTTGTTCATACTCGATGTTGCAAGGCATAAATGCATTCCTAAGTTATTTTCCAGTAAATATCAGAGCTTTACACTCAGTTTTCTGCATATATCAATCCTCAAACTTCAAAAGCCAACTGAGCTTTCTCAACATTAAAGGTCAGCCATTTCATCTTTCCATGAAACCATATGATACAATAACTTGAAGGATCTCTTTGACATTTAAAAACATCATAAAGAAAAGGAAAGGAGAGAAATCATATCAGGACAAAAGTAAACTCCAATTTTATTTATTTTTCCCTAAAAAAGGCAGAATCTCTGCATGTCAATCACAAGATGAGCAAGATTCCAGGAAACTGACAAACAAGTGAAGCCAAAAAATCTAATCAAGAGAAGAGATGACTTTTCACCTTCTACATGAAGCATGTATGACCATGATACGGACAGCTTTGACATACTCCAAATGGATAGCTGTGGTTTTGAACCCCAAGACGCAGAAACAAGATACTCTGATGTTCCAGCAAATGCGAGGTTCACAACAGGCTGTAAGAAGTTCCAGGAAGAATAATTAAAAATGGCACCACAACAAGAGAGGAGAGATTCATGAATGCACAAGCCATGCTAAAAAGATACATCATGAAACCTAAAGATGCCCTCACCAAAGCATTTGTTCTTACAGCCTCTTTTTGCTTTGTTTGCTTCCACTGGAATACTAATTAATATTTCAGCTATTAAACATTGCTAAGCAGTTGAACACAAGCAACAAAGCTCTCTTGCTCCAAATTTATTTCCATAGAGCAACCTTGAACAGCATCGACATGTTCATTATTTGTTACTTTAAGCAAATCAATGACATCGTCATAACTGCACCCTAAAGAATCAAAAACACCTAAAGGGAACAGAACCATTAAAGCAAAGTACCTAATCCTGCACAACCCCACAGTTTTTTCCTTCGCATAGATAAGCACCACAACATAAACTTAAGAGGAAACAAGGGTTATGTTCTGGATCAAGAACAAAGGTTTGGTGGCCAGCAATATCCTTTATTTCCATAGTCTTGTGTGTGTGTGTGTGTGTGTGTGTGTGTGTGTGTGTGTGTGGCTACATAGCTTGTGTATTAGAGAGAATGTAAGTCAGGATCTCAAAAAATCACCATCAGAGTCTCCCCAATAACAGCCACTAGAATATTCTTGTCTGCATCCCACAGTGTGATAACAGTTTCAGCTGCAACAGCAAGAACAGAACCATCGGAAGAAAATGTGGCAGCTGTCATTGGTTTTTTTCTGCAAGTAGAATTATAAATAATCTAAATGACCACAAATTTGAGAGCTTAAATTACCAGCATATTACCAAGCACCAGATTCCATAAGCTTTTAAGTTTCAACACAAGTACACGTATCCAATGAACAAAGTTCTATTATTTAAAAGGGGAAGAAAAAAGAGGCACTAGAAGGAAATTTAGGTATCACTTTTGGTGTTGAAAATTTGGATTAAAGCAAACAAAGATGAGACGCAGAAAAGCCAATTGAAATATTTAGGACTAAATGTTATGAAGTTTTTAACAGTACTTCCATTTTCACCAGCAAAATATTTCTTTGAAATCCCACAAATTGAATCCAGCAAGAATTAAAGCATCACTAAACCAGGATCATACTTATATGAGCCAACAGCATGGCAAGTCCATCCAGAATTTGGGAGTGGTTTATCCATCTCCTGAATCCCATTATTGCAAACCCATACCTGAAGCATCCAAAAGGTTATGTAAAGTCAAGAGAAACAGAGTACTAAAAATTAAATGTTTTTCTGTTCCAGTTTTACCTTGAAGTCCCCACCATAAGAAGAACTGACAGCCATAGGGCGGGTAGGATGAAAAGCAATAGCTGAAATGCCTGCATCCCTATAAAACAAGGAATAACATGATCCCCAGTCCTGTTCTTAAAGAAAGCATATTTATATCCGCACATTCCAATTCAATGAAAATATGCAAAAGCACACACATTGAGAGATGCTAAATAAACAAATAATGAGCACAGGAACATAGCTCACTAGACAGTATGAACTTTACATGTGATGGTTACAATGGACTTCCCTCTCTTTGATCCCAATTCATAAAAATTGAAAACAAATCAGTGACATGGGTCAGAATGAGTGGCACCACCCAAAAATTGCTTATATCTCATTTTCATTAGTCTGAACAAATTAAGTCAAGGGTCAAACCTGTGGGGATCATAAACAATGGTAGACAAACTGAACTCCTTGTTTTTTGATCCCAGTGCCCAAAACTTAAGACAAACTAATCCTCCCAAACCCTCCTCAGGAAGCTTCACTTCAGCAGTACTCATCATCGAACCATCTAAGGAGAGAACAGCTAATGTCACCACTACCTGTAACCAACATACTCAAAGATTCAGCAATTACTAGTAAATGTAACAGAATCAAATTAGTGAAAAAAAGATGGTAAAAATACAGATAATCAGCAATGTAGTTGAATAGGCAAAAATTACAAAAAAGCAACTTGATTACCGTGACTTCATCGCCTGGTTGATGGTTTCTCTCACAAACTACAACCTGAGGGGAATAGAAATTCAAATTTCACTTTGATGCATTTTATAGTCAATAAGTTTCTAATGAAATATTTATACCCAAGTACCTAAAGCACAGAAGGTGCACATCAAAATGGTCTAGAGCACTATGTGAAATAACATACCCAGTAGGCCTGATATTGCCAAATTGAAAATTACAAATCTTATCAAGCAGAAAAATGTTGTAACAATGCATTGATTTACAAAATAAAAGGCAAAGGTGAAGTGGTTACATTGCTTGAATACAAAACCAGTTACAAGAAAAATCCAGCACTGAACAAACTGCCTCCACCAAAACCCCACCCACAGGAAGGAACCAAAAAAGAAAAAAGAACTACTCTGTAGGTCTAACAATGAATGCAATCAACATTCTTAAAAAGTAAATTGAAAAACCTTTCCTAGGGAAACACAATGGTCCCTCATTTACTTAAGCATAGAATACAAAGCTGCAACCACTGGTTGTGAAAACCACCTATCAGGTGAAATGACTGAGAAAACAAGACCGTAAGCTAAATGAAACTCAAATAGGCTTACTATACTAGTAAAGAATAAATCAACATCAAAAGAAAATCATTCTTATTCTTCAAAGCTCAAATTCATCTTGGACATTCACTTACTCCAAGTAATATATTCTTTTCATCTAAAGAAAACTAATTACCTCGGAAATTCCTCGGTCATCAAATAGGCTGTATAACTGGATGCAATAGTTTTCTGTACGCAAAGCAACTAATCCCGCATTACAGTCAAAGGCAATCCCACTTTGTAAGCCATTGCACATCTCTGGAAATGAGCGAGGAAGCTGAAAAATATGATATCATTGTTTCAACAGATGCGAACTAGTTTCCATATAAAACAGCATTAAAGTAGTAATCAAGAGTACTTTGTTCACTTAAGAATCAGTCCTGGCAAATATGAAGGTATACGAACAGTAGGCCATACTATCCAGACAAACCTGCAAAAAGCTAAACCTGGAAGGTTGACACAAAAATTTGATGAAGCTGTTGAAGTCTGACTCAATGCAAACCCAAGTCATAGATACCAGGCCAATAAAAATTAGATGGGAATTTTCCTCACAAGCAAACATGCCAATGAATTGTCACGGCATGCTGCACGCAAATCTTTACAGCTCAGGACATGAGATGGAGTGATTTACACCTGACAGTAACATTTTTTTCAAGACTCGCAACTAAGAAAGGCACTTCTAAAACTCGAAGGCTAGACATGTTTACCAAGGATTTCATTATGAACACCCCTCAGGTGATGCACCAGCTGCCATGATTAAGTACAAGACTTGAAGAAGGTGGATTTCACAGCATTTAATTTGATTTCCTAATAAAAAATGGTACCTGACTTGCTAACACTCACCATATAGTTTAAGGTTAGTATAGTGTAATTTTCCTAGTGTTTAGAATTTTTTAGTGCTACGCATGGCTCTCTGCTTGGAGGGATTCAACCTTCACAATATGCTTAAGAAATTGAAAATCCCCAATGGACTCTCTCCATATCTCACTATGATCTTCTGACTTCCATAAATTCATGAATACACTGGCCATTCCTTGGTGATGGGAAGAGCAGAACAGTGAAGAAGTTCCAAATGCCAAGCATGGCTGGCATAATAATTAAGATGGACTCATAGAAACACAATATACATGAAGTTTTTGAAAGAGTGAATCCAAAACAAAAAAAAGGGGAAACCTGTTCAAAACTCAATATAGACATAGATGCATCGGAGAAGGGAACAGAATTAAAGTAGCATGAGCAATAAACAGGAGAAGTGGATGGAAATGATGAGATGATGTGAAATGCAGTGGTAAATGATATAATATAACACGTCATAGACATTTTGGTCAAGACAGAACATTATGGAGGTGAAAATCTGGCCTCAAGAGAACATTACAAAGAAAAGGATCAACAGGGTCAATTCCAACTAGTTTGTAACTAATTGGATTATCATTTCGAATCAGTTGAAATATCATGGAAAGATTATCTGGCTTGTAGAAGAATATAAAATTTCCTACTCATTGAATTATCATTTCAATCAGCTGAATTTATCAATCAAACAATTAAATGGCCATGCAGAAATAGATAATCTTACAAGGTTCACAAAATACAAATATATTGATCAAAACTAACCTTGATCCCTGAGATGGACTTCAAAATTTCCATCGAAGGCATTTTGAGTAGATGAATTTGATTATCTGCACAGGATATCTAAAGATACTAGATTTAGTAAAATTGGTAAAGACAAATTCATTTTTTAAATTAGAATTAAATTTTCCAGGAAATATATTCCACTTACAGAGGAAAGTGAAGGGTCTGGAGAATCTGTAAACCATAAGAGTGGAGATCCAATTCTTGGTAAAAATTTCTTCCTTCCGGTGTCTAGTTGCCAAACCACAAGAACTCCTTCCTTTCCACCTAAATGTAAACAAAAGCATGTGTCATGAACAGGACAACAACTCTGCATGTGAATAGAGCAGCAGTCTTCAGGAAAACACCATGACAATAAAAAGATATTCTGAGCCTGTTGTCAACTGATGTAAGTGGTAAGCTTGGATCTTAAACACCTTTGAAGTAATTGCAAAAAGCCAGGACATTTTATTTCATAAATGAATTGCATGATCAGAATACATCTACCTGAGAGATAAGTTTCCAATCTGCAAAAACATTTAATAAAATAAGACATGCCACTAATTCAAGGACCCTATAATTATCTCAAAAACATATCCAATCACCCTGGTTTCCTTATATATCTGAAGTTACTTTAACCAGCTCCAAAAGCATGTGATAGGAGGTTTTCCCAATTTTCTCATAGAATTCAAATCTAGTGTCAGGCTACATGGAAGCATAAACTAACAAATCAAAGCATCCATTCATACTACAGCTTCTTTACCTGAATACAAATAAGCTCCATCAGAAGAGAAAAACAGGACATTTACTTCAGCAGAATGCCAATGCCATGTGGTGCATGAATCAGCGTCATCATCGCCCCTCACTCCAGGTCTTTCTTCCTCGTTATTCGTCAACTTTCTACTCACTAATCCATCACCATCAGCAAACGTTCTATCCCCAAATCCCCTCCAAATCAAAATTCTTCCAGTCACATCCCCTGCAGCAACAATTCTCTGAGTTGGGTGGAATGCAAGAACATTCATATTCTTTGTATGATGCAGCGTGATCTTCTTAACAACAGCACGTTCAGACTCTGCAATCGGAACTTTCCATATTCGAAGCTTGCGCTTAAATTGGATACCAAAATATTTTCCCGAGGAGCTAACAGTTATAATCTCTGGTTGCTTGGTCTGTATAAAAGGTAACCACAGTATAATACAACTCTCCATTTCTTTATGATTTCAATTGATTGTCAATAAAATTAACCATAAGGGCTAAAGCTAACTACTTATTTCAAATCATGAAAAAGTGATTACAGAAAAAGTATTAATAACAAATACAAATTGAAATTCTTTTACCTCTGACAATGTCATTCCACCAGCCATACGAGAATTTGTTAAGTTACACTTTTTAATTTGACCAAGCAAGGCCTTGCCAGACTCCTTTTCTGGTTCTTTGGTGTTTTCGAAAGACAAATAAGCAAAAGTTTTAGGAGATTTGTCATTGGTCTCAGCTGTCTGACTTAATAAAGATGGAATAACCTGAAGATTGTTAAAAATAAAAACAATAATCATTGCACATTTAAAAATAAATTTATTTTTATTAACAAAATCATCATAAAATTGGCTATAGTTACCATGGAGATAATCGGCAAATTAACATTAATTATCTTAATTAACTCTGGCACTGAAAAATCCCAATAACGAATAGTTCCGTCAAGTGACGCCGTCCAACAATAGCATAGTATCTTACTTGCTGGAGTTGACGCCGGCACTACTATCACCGCCGTAACAAGCGCCGTATGGCCGTCAAGCGACAATACCTACAAAACAAAAGGAGGAAACTATGATAGTCTTAATCGGAAAAAGTGACTAATTGAAAAAAATAAAAATAAAAAACAGAGAAAGTAGGTAACCGGTAAGCCGGTGGCGGTGCTGAAGATGGTGACGGAGTTGGCAGTGCAAACGAGGAGTCGTTTGGCGTCGTTGGAGAAGGCTGGTGGCGACAACACGTAGCTTCTACCTCCTCTAATCATTTTTTGACTTTGATATAAAATCGATCGAGGGGGAGAGGGGGAGTTTAGAAATTGAAGACTGTCCTGCAAAAGCCCTAAAAGCGGCAAACTTCTTCCATAAACCCCTCTGTTTTAACTGACGCGGCCTCGTAAAGAAGAGAAGAAGAGGCAGTGCTGTCGAGGTTATCTTTATTCAGAAAAATATTAGTTTGGCAGTCGCGCGCGTTAACCTGTGTTTTGTTATAAAAAATATTAAATACAATAAATAAATAAATAATATTTAGATAATTAGCTCAATTAAATTTAATAATTTTTTTTAATTTAATTATATTATTTAAAAATAAAATATCAACAACAAAAGAAAATAAAAAACAACTATTCAATGTAAAAAATAAATACTTATCAATATTATAAAAATATATCTTTATAATATTCCAAAAACATTTCAATGATTTTATTTATTAATAAAGTAAAAATTAAATGATAATAGAATAATTTCATAGAAAAAATATTAATATAAAAAAGACAAAAAATTCAATTATTGATAATTTTTTAAACTATGACTCGGGTTATGAAATCAAAAACACAAGATATAAAAAAATTTGAGGGTTAAAATAAAAAAAAAAACAACACAAAAAATCCAAGATAAAAAAATACAATAAAAATTAAATCAAAAGGCACAATAAATTTTAAATTTCAAAGTTAAATTAAAAAGAATAAATACATTAACAAAAGGGTAAAAATCAAAAGATAAAAGATAAAAAAAATACATTATAAATTTAGATTGAATGGTATAACTAAAAATAATGAAACTTTCATAAGAGATTCAAGGAAAAAAAATCATAAGAACAAATATCAAATCCTAAATATTAAAACATAATAAAAAAATTGAATATACAAAATTATTCAACAATTTTTTACACTAAAAAAACTCTTAGATATAAATCAAAAAACTTATACACGTATCTAATTAAACAAATCAATAACTATTGTGTAAAGCAATGAAAAAAATCATGAACAATAAACAAAATAAAATTGTGAAAATTAAGAGAAAATAAAGATTAAGATATCTAACATCGCAATATGAGTAATTTACTTAGTTATATTTAATAAGTTCCATTATCAAAATAATTCTGTAATAGAAAAACACAAAAAAACTATAATAGAAAATGGCACACACATAAAATTTAATAAGCAATAATTAAAAAAATACAAAATTGCACATATGAAAAATCTTATAAAAAATCAATATTAAAAAAAAAATTATATAAAATTAAAAAAATCACAGATAAATCATATCTACATATCTAAAAATTAAACACACATAATATCATTTAAAAATAATTACAGTCTAATTAAAATATAAATCTAAAAGTTATTTAAAAAAATATATACAAATAATGTATTTTTTTTTTTTAAAAAAAAGAACCCCACCAAGCTTTCTTGAGCCTAGCAAGTTTGGTCCAATAAAACAACTTGCACATGGCCCTTTATTTTTTAAAAAGAGTTTAATGGGACAGATGATACATCATCCGCCCAAGTATATAAAAGAAAATGACAAGTTGCCTTCATCAATAGACGACGCGTCATCTTCTCAATCCATAATCCAACCAATATGGTGACTAGATAAATAGGATCCTTTCTTTTTTCACTCAAAATCTCATTTTTCAACTCTTTTTTAACTCAAAATATTTAGAAAATATCATAAAGACCTTATTAAACTAATTCATGAACACCAAAAAATCAATAAACTGCTCCAAAACCTAAAATCCACCTGAGACAAAAATTCTATCCGAACTCAAATTTGTTGTTTTAGCGTTTTGAAAGTAAAAAACATCTAAATTTAACCCTCTTCATTATATAGAATCTTTTGATACAAAAATCAATAGTTTTAGTGGTTAAAATCTTTCCCAACAACTAATGTCTCTCTTTAAGCTAGAATTTTGCAACTCCCTCTATCTACTCCTGACAAAAAAGGATTGATAAAAGAAAAAAAAAAAAAATTTGATATCAAAATATATTATCTTCAAATTCAAAGAACTGGTCACTTAATATCTAAAATATATATGGGGAAATAAAATAAATGCAACAAGATTTTCAACCTATCTCCATGTTATGCGAGATTTTTACTTTAGTTCCTTAGTTTTCAATTCAACTTGCCCCCTAAAAAATATGTAATCGGATTCATTTAGGTTTAAAAAAACTAAATCACATAAAATAAAAGTTTAAGAATCAAAGTGAGAATTACTAAAAAATACACTACTCCAATCTACTATGTATTATAAGATAGTATATAGTATTTCAAGCACAATAAAAAGCTGATACTTTTTAGTTATAGTTAATTAAAATAATTTTTTTTTTAATTTTTTTTTAATATTAATATATTAAAATAATTTAAAGTTAAGAAAAATTAAAATTTTAAAAAACATGATTAAACTGTAATGCTAAATAAGGCTAAAAGTGTAAGGATAATTAATGCTTATATTCATTCGATCTTCCTCGTATTCTTAAAAGTTTGTTTGAACGATCCTCATGTTATTTTATATTTTTAATTTCATGCCTTTTGGTCACCCCTTTCTCTAATTTATTTTCTATTTTACTATTTGGTTTCATCATTATATTAACACGTATTTCACTGTTTGATTAGTCAAGAGTTCTCAAGAAAAAAATTAATTAAAGTGATTAAGATTTTATTAAGTGAAATTAATAATAGATACAAGTTAACAAGTTTACGTTAAAGCTATTAAGAAAATGACACCTGCAAAACCTTATTCATTTTTGTATCTTGATGATATTTTTTATAAAATCAAGAAAAATTTGTATTGAAAGTGTGGTTGTGATTATTTTTTAAAATATTTTTTATTTATAAATATATTAAAATAATATTTTTTTTTATTTTTTAAAAAATTATTTTTAACATCAATACATTAAAATTTAAAAATTTCAAAAAATAATTAATTTGAAATAAAAAAAAATAAAAAATTTAATTTTTTTTAAAAGTACTTATAAAAAAATTTAAAATTTTTTATTTTTTTATTTACTTTGAGTTTATAATCCAAAAGTAATTTTGAAGTTTTTTGAAGTTTACAAGTTTTTATCTTATTTTATGACAATTAAAAATTCAATAAGTTGTCAAAATGGAAAATCAGATAAAATGCTTTTAAATTCTGCTGGGGGCGTAGTGGGCGCTTAGAAAATAACATGAACGTATCGAAGTAATTTTAACTTGGCTCTCAAAATAATTGCATACGTGTTTCTTAAATTACCATTTTTTTTTTCTTAAATTACCATATTTTAATGTTAGTAAGGTGTTACCCATTTAGTAATCATCATGCTCATGTACAAATTCGTATCATTTTTTAAGCCCGTCAAAAAAGATAAAGAATTATTAACTATTCTATTCTAAAAACTTTCACTGTAATAATGTATATCAAAATATCAATACTCCTTTATTTTTTCCTTGATTCTTATAACTTTTTACTGTTTTTTAACAAATTCATATTTTATTTTTTAATATTAAATTTATTAGTATTAAATCTTATAATTTATTTTTTATAAAATTATTTTAGTCTTAAGACTAGGTTCATGAGTTTTGCGAATTAACTAAATTAGCTTGGATAACTTTTTTATTCTATTTTTAAATAGTTTTTTGTTATCTTTACCTTTTAACATTAGTAGAAATTAGACTTCATAACTATATATTAATTTGCTTTTTATGAGATTATTATGATTTTATGATCCGGGTTGTGAGTTTTGCTGGTTATCTAGGTTGGCTTAGGTTTTTTTTCTTTTTAATTTCATCATTCAACATTGATTTGATTGAAAATTTAAATTTATAATTTTTTATTTGCTTTCTATAGATTTATCTCAAGTTTGATAGGTTGACTCAAGTTTTTTTTTATATATGTTTTTAATTTAATCCTTCAAATATCGAGATAATTGGGAATTGAACTTCAAAATATTTTTTATTTGCTTTATATCGGGTTATCAATGTATTATGACTCGAGTAACAAGTTTGGTTGGTTGACTCAAGTGTTTTTGTGTGTCATTTATATATATATATATATATATATATTTTCTAATTTCATCATTTAACATTGAGTTGATTAAGAATTGAACTTCAAAATTTGTTTCAATTTGTTTTTTATGAGGTTGTCTCGGTCTCAGGACCCAAGTTAAGTAGGTTGATCAGGGTTAACTCGGCTTATCTTTTTAGTTGAATTTTGTTTCAGATTTTATTATTCAACAATGAGTTAATTGAGAATTGGATATAATAAAAGAGATTATTTTTTTTATATAGAATAATGAAAGTCTCGTAACCTGGGTAATGAGTTTCACAAGTTAACCTAATTTGATCTAAGTCGATCTAATAGATTGTCATTTTAATATTTTAAAAAAGATGTCGTCTTGATTTTTTTAATCAAAATATATTTTTATTGGTTGTATGTTTTATCTTTTGACCTGTTAAGTCAACTGAGTTATATTAAATCAGTTCTCATATAGTTTTAATTTTTTATACTAAAAAATATATTAACAATACCTAAATATTTTTTTATGTCCAAATTTTTTTATTTGATGTGCAACATAGCACGACCAATCATCTAGTTGTATCTAACTTTATATTCTTGCAATTTTTTAATATACAATGTTTAGAAAATTAAAATACCATCCTAAACTTAAAAACTTTTACAATTATTTTTTTGGAAGTAGATTGAATTGTATTCATTTTCATAAAAGAAAAAAAAACTTGCTCCAAATACTAAAAAAAAATTAAAGGGTTTGGTTAATTATTAAAATTTGATACTTGGGATTTAATGATAATATCAAACAAAAGCTAAAGTAGGGGTAATATTTGTCGCAGAAATGATAGTACAAGAATATACTAATTTTTTAATACTAGTTTTATTATGATGTAATCTGACACGACCAAAACATTAATGTCTTCTCTCAAATGCAGGACTGTCAAAGTAATAAATAACCTTGTAAGACCGAGGTTAAATTACAGGAAGGTTAATTGTATAAATTATAAATAACAATAATACAACAACAACAACAATAACAAGAATACTACTAATAATAGTAATATTAATAATAATAGTAGTAGTAGTATTAGTACTCATAATAATAATAATAATAATAATAATAATAAAGATGATGAAGATTTTAAGATGAAAGATTAATGTAAGGATCAAACAAT